GGGGCTCAAACTCACAAACCATGGGGTTACCACCTGAGCCGAAGTTGAACGCCTAACGGACTGAGCCATCCAGGTGCCCAAGGAGATGAATTCTTAAAGTGACCTGTTTAAAGGCTTTACTGTACAATTTCCATCATAAGTCATCTCAAGTTCTCTTGGAATAATTGTTTAAAATACCTAAAATTCCTACTGTGATTATTCTTTGCCACTTGCTGGTGTGACACATGGTCCTTGTTCTTAAGAAGTCAGGTGAACTTGGCTAAGTAACCCAAGTATATTTTGTGTATTTGTGGAGAAGGTTCACTGCACGATGGCTCTGGTCTCCGAGGAGCGCTTTGAGCCCTGCATGTGGGGTGGGGGCTGGGGTGCCCAGGTGCTTCTTCCCCGAGTTGGAAGGGAGGCCCGGCCGCGGTCCACCTGCGCGTGTGCCTAGGAGTGATGGGGTCAGGGCGAAGGAACGCAGGGGCTGCCACTGCTGCCGTTTTTCTAGTAAAAGGTTGTGAGATCATTACAGATGTGGGAAGACGCACGTTCCTCTTGTTACTTTCAGCCGTTGTCTCGTGGTCTGTCAGGTGGAGGTTGTCTGGATGGATAGTTAGGACCGTTCTTCCTTCTGTGATGGGTCTTGGAGACCCATCACAGGGGTGTCTGTGCAGGCGTTCGGGCGGTGCTGTTGAGCCTGGTGGATTCCAGCCCGGGATTGCCCTCTTGTGTGCCCGAGACCGCCAGTCTCCTGTGGTCTGCTTCAATTACAGGATAACAAAAAGATGAAGAAATCTCTGGAGGAAGAGCAGAGAGCCCGCAAGGACCTGGAAAAGCTGGTGAGGAAAGTTCTGAAGAACATGAACGACCCTGCCTGGGATGAGACCAACCTCTGAGGAGCATCCTTGCCTCTTCCCAGCGAGGAGACCAGGCCCGGGTGAACACGCGGGACCGCGGGGGCAGGGCTGGACAAAAGTCATCTTGCTTTCTGTGAACGGGAAAGCTGGAGTTGCTCACACAAATAGAAACGGTTGCACTGTTCCCGAAGAATCCACACGTGAGGTGTAGACCCTGAGGGTGGAACTGCAGTAATTTTACTCTGTTAACATCTCAATTACCTCATTTTGCAATAAGTGCAGTGACTACAAATCCTGGTGTTTCAGGCTTTTATTGAGTATATATAATTACACGTGTTTCTTGTAAATACTCCATTTTGAATGCACATCCACGGTGGTTCCATCTGGGCTGATCACCTGCGCTAGAATTCCCTTCCCACTAACCTTTCTGGTCCTGTGAACAAGATGTGCTCATGGAAAGCAGGGGCGTTAAAGGTGCCTGGTATTTTGCTGGATGCCTGGTTTGCTCTCTATAGTCCCCACGTGCTCTAAAAAGACCTTCTGCTTTGGTAGGCCTAAGTAATTAACCTTATTTGTGTCTGCAGAGATACCTTAATACCCTCGAAAGTCTTCTGTTAAAGCCATTTTGTGTCACTGACATGTGGTGGGCCTGAGTGAGGTGCCCGGGCTGAGTGAGAGAGACGCCAGCTTCAACCACAGATCCCAGGAGGTCCCCACACACTTCCATGTCCAGCTGCTGGTGTCTGCGCCTTTCTGCCTCTGGAGAACGGCAGCCCGTCGGCGTGCATTCACTGCACTGGGGAGAGCAGACTTTCTTATATAGGCTGGGTTAATAACATGAAAAAGTGCACTGTTGTGTCCTGCCCACGAGAGAAAGCTTCACAAGAACCTGTAAATAAACTATTATTTATTACGTATCTCTGAGGCCGATGAAGGCACACCAGGGATGCTGTGGGCTGACATGGCAGGTGGCGGTTGGGAGTTGTCAGGCCACTTTGAGCTCTGTTCACCAGCAGCATGCAACGAGCCTTCAGCGCTCACTGGGAAAAAGAAATGTTTCCCCCTTTCAGTGAGAATAAAGCAATATAAATCCCGCCAAAGCGATGAAAGTTTAAATGTGGGTCCATTTCCCCCTGTACCTCCACAGCAGAGGAGACGGGCAGCCTGCCCAGCCCCAGCTCTGCTGGCCTCTCTGGGCAGGGACGCAGGAGCTTCGGAGCCCCTGGGCAGGAACCGCGGCCGTGGAGGCAGGATGCCCACATTATGGCAATGGCTCTCTGCTCCCCTCTTCTCCAGAGGTCAGCTTTAATCGACAGGAACTTTTTCACAGAACCAGTGTTAGGTCTTTTAAAACAGCAGTATCTCTGTGCATTACAGACTTCTCAGAAATACCCTTGTGGCCTCAGGAGTGACTTGGGCCTCGTGATCTGTGGGTCAAGCCACCCTGTAAAGGCTTTGGGATCTTCTGATGCCTTTGAACTGGGTGGCTTTGGAACCTGGCTTTCTGCTCCTCCAGGCTCCTGCTGAGCACTGTGCCGCCCCCCCCCCCCCCCCCAATCTGCTGCTGGAGGGCAGTGGCTTGAGCTTGGCCCTCCTGGCTGTGTGCCCAGCAGGTGTGTCTGTGGCTCAGCATTGACCTGCCCATGTGTGGCCTTTCCAGTAGAATTGCCAACTTCTTGCACTTAGCATTTTGTTCACCAGAGCTAGGACTAGCAGGGAGAGCCTGTTTTTTGGTAAGCCCTATTTCACAGGAGTCTTTGGTGACGCAGAAGACCTTTCTTGCAGTGGGAGACACGTTGGAGTGTGTCCAAGTGTGCAGCCTTGAACTCAGGGACGGCCTCTGTCCCCTGCTCTCTCCACCTGTTTCTGATGGGCGATGTTGCTGGCAGCATCCCAGGAGGGGTCTCTCGCCTGCCTTAGCCTCACCGAAGCCTTGAGTGACACCTGTTTCTTCCCCATCCTTGCCCTAAGGGGAGAGGCCCGTTCTCTCCTCTCCTCGCAGATCCAGGATTTCACTAAGCTTTTTAGGGAGCAGAGAAAATGCATCCGAGAGCAGTTCTTTCTACAGACCTTCCTTATTGTAAATAGGTTGTTTACGTTTCTCTGACCTTCCAAGGGGCTGGGGGTTGAAAGGCGCCCTATTTACCCCAAGGGCGAGGACACGACACACTTCAGTTCTGCACGATGTTGAGATGTGGGTCAGACACCGTCCTTTGTGCTCGTGGTGTCTGCCTCCGCGCGCACCAGGCGCTGGGACGTTGGGCGCCTCCAGCTGTGTGTGCACTTCCCGCTGCCCTCCCGCCCCATTTCTCTAGGACACACAGCATCCCTGGTGACTATTGTGGGGCCATGTCCTGTAAATGCCACAGAGTGTCCTGGCATTGACTATTCCTTCTACATCGTTGTAATTATTAAACTGACTTTCCTTAAGTTACAATATCACTTTATCTTCCATGATGTGTTTTGTGTTTTGTTTTTTGGTGCATGTTACCTTTATGCTTTCTTCTGACTTAAATTTTTTTTAAGTTTATTTCGAGAGAGAGCCCTTGTGAGCAGGGGAGGGGCAGAGAGAGAGAGAGAGAGAGAGAGAGAGAGAGAGAGAATCCCAAGCAGGCTCCACACTTCCAGCACAGAGCTGGACACGGGGCTTGAACTCACAAACTGTGAGATCATGTCCTGAGCCAAAATCAGGAGTCCGGTGCTTAATCGACTGGAGCCACCCAAGCACACCTCTTCTGACTTAAAATAAAATAAATTCTGGTGTAAATTTTTGATGTTGGAAAAATCATGTTTGCCTTAAAACCGGTGGCTTGGGAATATTTGAAGTCCTGTTAGGAAAAGGAAGGTTGTAGGGAAGGAAGGGGAAGGAAAAGCACCATGAGGCACGGCCCTTCTGTCTGTAGAAGGACTTTTCATCCTGGAAGGGGCTCGGTGATCCCCCCTCGTGGGTGGAATGGGGGAAAGTGTGTCTCGGGGTTCCTGGGGGTCCTTACACTGGTGGCCTGTGGACAAAGGCAACAGAAGCAAGTTGCTCGTGTGCTTGTGAGCCTTGCCCTGCCCAGACCCTTCGCCCTGGTGGCCACTCCGTCCAGGCGAGTGGCTGGAGCCTGTGTTCCGGGAAGACAGCCACGCCGGGAGCAGGTCGAACGCCCCCTGATGCTGCTGCCTCCCTCTCCGAGCTCCCACCCTTGATCCGAGGAGGTGAGCCTTGCATATCTCCCATCACCACAGTCTGTGAAAACTTTGTCAGGTGACTTGGTAAACCCTACTTTGTCCTCTTTCTCCCAGATTCTAGGGAGACCAGTGATGGCACGTGTCCTGCAGAAAGACCGGTTTTCTTGGTGCTGGTGTAACTTGCATCGCCTGTTAGCTCCCAATTTCTTTGGCGCTCTGATACTCCCCCGGCCCCTCAGAGGGCAGGCCACCACTGCAGCCCTGAACCTGGCACACTGCAGCCAAGAGCGGTGGCCGGGAACCTGGCCATCTGCACTGGACATGGGGCGTGAGGACTAGGTGAAGTAGCCACTGCCCAGGGGGGGTCCGTGCGCCGGGCGAGGCACACGGCCACGGCCACCCGGGGTGCCTGGCCACCAACGTGGTGTCCAGAGTTTGGAGGATTTCCAGTTTTTCAGGCTGAGATGGGACCTTGAGAAAGTCCCTTGTGTTGATTTGCATTGTAAATGAGCTGCGCTGGTATTTCTAATTCAAGCGTTTCTTACCGGGGCACTTGTATATACTTGCTGGTCTTTATGAAGTCCCTGCGTGGGGAGAGACGCAGGGGGCACGAGGTGAGAAGCGCGCAGCCCCTCTCCCGATACTCTCGCCTGCTTCCACGAAGGTAACCAGTGTGATGGGTTCTTTTGGGCAGAGGCAAACCTGTGGTGTTTGTGCGATTTTTGTTCCCCGCAATGAGAGCACGTTGTGTTCGCTAACTGGCCTTTTTCTTAAATCCATGTGGGAAAATAGTGGCTCCCGGTACCACGTCATAAAAACTTGCAGGTGTAGTAAAGACCTAGGTAGGAAAAAAAAACTCGAAACTTTCAGAGTACGGAACTTTTATGCCTTTTGCTGGGACTGCCTTTTGTGGGTAACGAATCCCCAGTATCCATTTTGGGGAGTGTGGGCTGCCCGTGTGGGGCAGCCGCATAAATATCCCACTGGTGGAAAGCATCAGGTTATTTCGGTGCTGGGGGGCGGGGCGGGGGGGCAGTTGGTATTGCAGAGGCTCCGGTGAGTATCCTGTATGCAACCAGGTAGGTATTGCTGTACGATTTATTTCTAGAAATGCGTGTTTTAATTTTGATGGAATTTGCCAGAGTCCCAGAAAACATTTTAGAAGTAACGTTCTTGACGATACTGTACTTCTAGTTTTTCGAAAAAAGGAGTCTCGGTCCGAATGCCGTCTGCAGCCTTTCCCTCGTTACTGGTGTGCACACACCCATGCCGTGGACTCCCCGTGGACTCCTCCGAGAGGCAGTTGTGGCAGTGCACACCCGCTGGCCACTGGCTCATAAAGCAAGTGGAGCTTGCCTCAGTGTCCCCCCGGGACCTCCTCTCTGGCTCTGCTTTTCCCCCTGCAATTCCTCAAAGCAAAGGTGCCCGGCCCCGACTGGGTCGGGCAGGCTGCCTCTCTCTCCAGCTCCTGGGTGCTGGTGCGAGGCGTCCGGCCCGGCTCCGGGCAGAGGGGACAATCGCTGAGGCAGTGCTCCGGGCTGCCCCGGAGCCCTTGGGGCCGTGCTCTGAGGGCCCCAAGTCTTGGAGTACAGTGTCGGGTAGCCAGCAGGCTGGTGGCCTCGTGCGTGGTTCTGTGGGTGTCTGGCATCTGCTTCGTGTCCAGTAGCAGGGGAGAACTGGTCTCCGCTCGGTGCCGTCAGTCACGAGACACACATTGATTGCTGTGCCTGAGGCTTTCTCGTATGGAGCCAGTCAAGCTTACGGGAGAGGAGAGTCAACAGTCAGAGCCCCCGAGACTACTTGCCATTCCCTGTACCGTGGTCCCCTGGCCTTGCCGTCATCGTGTCTGGAGAGCAGTCGGGAGGAGAGGCCAGGGGACCCTCCCTTCTGGCCCTTCAGTCCCCAGGGAAGCCCTGCTTCCCTCGTAAACACAGCAAATTGCATCGTTTGTGTTTTACACATGCTTTTACAGAGCTGCTTTAGTTGTGCAGTTTCCTTTTTGGCCACCAGCCTGTTTCTCTTTCCCCTGGGCGGATAGACCTCTCAGGAGACCCTGATGGGCTCTGTCCCCACTCCCTGTCCTTGCCCACAAGTGATGCACAATGTGGCAGGGCTGCTGCTCCCTCGGTGGTCCTGGTTACCCCTGCCCTCGAGGAGGATTCCCAGAGTGCCCGTGCCCACCCAGTTGAGCTGACTCGGATCCTGTCCTAACCACCCTCCCCTTCCCACAGTGCTGCACACCTCCCCCGCCCAGTCTTTACACCCCCCCAGGTTGGTGGCATCTGCCTGAGGCTCTGGCCCCTTCAGAGGTGGGGCTGGAGTGATGCTGCTGTCGTAGGTTAACCAAATCCCATTAGAGCATTTGTAAAAGGCTAGTACTTGAAGTTCTTGTGGAAGTCGTAATGGGCCCCCATGGTACTTTGCTATGTCAGAAAACCCAGGACAACACCCACATTGTCCCACAGGAAGACCTCACAGTTGACAACAGCAAGTGTCTTTCTCTTAGCTGGAATAAAATCCGTTAAGGGCGGTCGCTACTTATCCCGGGGAAACAGGACTCGGGGTAACGGGCAACGCAGGCTGCTCCCTTTGCCCAGCCTGTGCCTTCCACGGCCGCACATGTCATAGCCGACACTCGGCTAAGCAAATGAGCTCCACCCACACTGTTCAGCCGCCAGGGGACCAAGTGCTGAGGCGCACCGCTCCCTGGATGAAGCTTGAAACCCTGTGAGTGAAAGACACACGCCCACAACCGTGTGCTCTGTGCTTCTGTCGGTAGGAAACCTTCAGAGGCAGACCTTGCAGACAGGAGGTGGAGCCTGGGGGGAGAGGGAGCCTCCCTGAGCTGATGGGACCATTCTCACGTGGGTGGTGATGGTTGCAAACTGTGAATACGCCCACTGCAAGTGGGTGAAGCGTGCGGTACGTGAATTACACGTGGGGGGTGATGGGCTAGCGTGTGGGGCTGCCAGAAGCCCTGCCTGACCCTCAGGACCCCAGATGTGGGCACTGCTGTTCACTGGGCTTCAGCTATGCGTCGGTCACTGGGTCCTGACCCTCGTGTTACAGATGAGGAAACTTACAAGGAGGGGGACCAAAGCCTGCGCCCGCCTGGGGTGACCCCACGGGCTCACCACAGACCCCCTGCTCTCCAGGCTGCTCTCGCTGGGGGGCTGGTCTCCTTGCTGAGGCCTTGTCCCTGCCGCCCTCGTGCTCCTAGGTCCATCCCAGGCTCTGTGGCGGCCTGGTGGTCGTGGTTTGCCTTCTCCCAGGTCTCCCTGAGGCTGGGGCCTTGACACTCCCTAGCCACTGCTCTTGGGGTCACAATGGGACAGGTCCCAGCACGATGCTTCCCTGACCCCCTCCCTCCTGGTGGCAGTTCATTGCCCCGGGCTCAGCCAGCACGGCTCCCTAACCTCACAGGGCTGGCTGTGGCCTCCATGAGCCTCCTGCCGTGTCCTAGGGCTTCCTTCCCACCTGCCATCTGCTAGCACCCAGCCCTCCCCAGTGGGTCCCTGCTCCTCACTCCAGGTGTGGGACACGGACAGGACGGTCACCTGGGCCTCATTGCTGATCTCACTTCTCTGGGCTGGGCACAGGCCTCCCCTTCTCTCCCACTCTTCCCGAGCTCCCACCTCCCAGGCCTCATGGAGGTCCTGTGGCCCCAGCAGGTTCCTTCTCCAAGGCACTCAGATGGCTTTCCACCCCACCATGGGACCTCAGCCCCAGCTAGATTCGTCCATTTGGGTCTTTAGGTCCCTAAGTGCACAGCCTCCTGGTTTCTCAGATTGGCCAGGGGTGCCTCACCCCGTGGACTTTGCACTTGCTGCTTCTTCAAGCTTTTGCACACTCTCCCTCACTTCTCCCAAAACTCTTCAGACACCACATAAGCCCGAGGCCACCCGCTTACCCTGTGTAAGCAGAAAATCAGTCCTGACTGCGCTCTGCCGTCTTTTTCTCCGTAACACGTCTGATCTGACGTGGTCTGTCTCCTTCCATGGGCTACACATCCCTGAGGTGGAGGGTTTATCTCAGCAAATGTGGACACCCCAAGAAGGGGGACCCAGGAGTGCCGGCAGGATGCAAACCCGTGGTTCAGAAGCCAGGCCTGAGTGTCACGCAGAAGGGGGTCTTGGTGGTGTTCAAAGCCCCACCCCTTGCACTTGGGGTCCTTGCACTCCTCGACCATGTGAGAGTCCCTCCACCTTACAGCTGCCAGCATCGCTCCCCTGCTCCCTCTGTGATGTCATGGGGTCTGTGTGACATCACAGCAGGCAGGGCGGGCCCACCACTGGAGCTAGGTCCCACTGGTGGGAGCGGTGGAGGGAGGAGGTGCAAGTTTGTTGGATCCAAAGTTGTCCACTTGAAGTGGAACTGTGGGACCGTGCGGCTGAGCAGGCTCAGTGGGGGACGTGGTTGCCAGGTGAGACCGGGGTCCGCTCTGCCCAGCCCCACCCCTGTCACTAGACCGACCATGGCCGCCAGCCCCCCGGCGAGGTCCTACCTGGGCTGACCTGTTGTCTCCCCCAGGTTCCCTCGACCCCGCGTCTCCGTCAGCTGCTACGATGACACATGCACCAGAATTAAAGAAATCCCCTTCTCACCTCCTGAAGAAATTTGCAGGTAACGGAAAGATCGCCATGGGGGCTGGTCCACCCCAAGGTGATGGCGGTCAGTCACCAGCTTGAGCCAAGGAAGGGGGCAAAGGAACGTGTGCTTTCAAAAATAACGCAGGAAAAGGCTGTGCAGCCTCCTCTCTCAAAAGTCTCAGTGCGGAAGGAAGCTCCTGGACCTGAGGCATTCACAAGAAACGCATTTAACTCCCAGGGCTCTAGGGTCAAACCCGGTTCACTGTGAGGTGTCAGACTTCCCTTCTGTCTCAAAGTGGTTATGGCGAGAGTGACTTTTTCGTGAGGGGAACACGTTTCTCCGCGGTAAAGCCCTCCTCCCGCTTCCCTGGTGCCCAGGGTCTGCAGTCGGACCCCTGGTACTGGGTGCTGAAGGAGTCTGCTAAGATGTGGCTTTCTGCAAGGCTTGCGGTCACTGGGAGCCCCAAGGTAGGTGTCCTGGAAGCCTGAGACCCTGGGGGACCACGTGAGGAGAGGGAAGGGCTGTTCCTGCTGTGCACGCTCGTGCTGACTTCTCAGGTAACCCTTCTCCGTGCATTGCTTTGGTGACAAACAGAAGATAGGAAAGTGGAAGGAAAAGAAATTTGGTTTTCTTCTTCTTTTTTTTTTTTAATTTGGCTTGGAGTCAGGCCTGACGAGGGAGGGTCCCGGGCCGGCCAAGCTTCCGTGAGACACATTTCTCCTGTCACCTGACAGGAATCCACTGAGGACCAAGCCCTTGGGATGCCCTTGGGGGCCGGTCTCGGGGGGGCTGCATCACACAGGGCAGCTGGGAAACGAAGGTCAGTGGGTCTCACTCGAGGCCCCAGGGTCCAGGCCCAGGCTCTAAACCAGGCCAAGGGGGCTCACGGGAGGGGCTGTGGTTTCTGATCAACATGGCTCCGTGCAGAGGAGGCAGGTGGCCTGCACCTGGGGCACCAAGTGGGCGGCAGAGATGGCTGGCCTGGAGTGCCCCCTGAGTCTCCTGGTGGAAGCGCCTGTGTGGAGGACAGTCCGCTCTCAGGGCCTGGGGCATGGGTGGCCCATCTCGCCTCTATTCAGGGCGGTGAGACCGGGGACCCTGGTGCCCACCCCGTTCTGAGGCTGGCCAGGTGCCCCTTCTCTGGGTGTGGCTGGAGTGGGTTGGCCAGTCGGGGGCGGGAGGTCATTGTCCCTGTCCTCACTAGTCTGAAAGAGGGGCCTGCTTTCCTGGGTCACAGTGATCCACCTGCGTTTTGACCATAAACTGCCCTTCCACCAGTTTTGGGGGTGAACTCAAGTGTCTCTGTCGTCCTCTGTGGACATCGACGTGGCTGTTAAGTGTTACTCTGAGGTGTGGGAGGTGAACAGGCGGAGGGAGTGGGCAGGTAGGAGATGGGCCGGTGGGGTGGGCAGGTATGGGGGCTGGGCTGGCGGAGAGGGAAGGCAGGTGGGCAGGTGGCACCTTGCATTACCACGGGCAAGGACGCGTCTGCACGAGGGCGTGTGTGAGAAGACACGTAAGCATGGCAGAGGAAAGACCCGTGAGGACACTTGGAGAACCAAGCCAGACCCGCCTCCCTGGCTGTGACCCAAGGCACCTGGTCCTCATGAGGCACAGGGCACTTCCCCCAGGGATGTTGGGCCCCCTGCCCTTGTGTTTTATTTTGCCCCAGTCTCTGTTTCTCCAAAACCGGAGGTGCCCAGCGGCCTGGCCGTCGCAAGGGCTGCCGTCTCCCTCTTCCTCGTTGCCTTTCTCACCTGGGCCCTGGCGTTCCCTGGATGTCATGGGCAGCACGGGGTGCAGCCCCAGCAGCCAGGCCCTGCCCAAGGAGATGCCAACCTTCTGGCTTCCGCCCCATCCCTAGGTCAGGTGTCAGGTACCATTCCCAGCGAGCAGCGTGTGGTGGGGCAGCTGAAGGCACCGCTTCTGGTGCCCAATGGTCACATGATTTGGGTTGTCCTTTGATGCTTTTAGCTGGCCAGTCCGGGGCTACAGGATGTCCTCAGTAAGGCCTCACTAACCCGCCCCCTGCCCCGTCTCTTGGGGGTTGTGGGCTGGGCAGAGGGGTCACTCCAGGGATGGAGATGTGGATGAGCTCTTTGTGTTGGGCACCTTTGCAGAAACACATCAGGACCTTGTGGGAGGTGCAGGCAGAGAAAACAGTCCTGGGGAGGAGGGGGTGGGCACAGAGGTCTCAGGTGTAATGGGGCACTGAGCTTCCACACGGGTGCGCTGGGGGGCCAGCTGCTGTGGCAAACGATCCCATTCGAGTGGTCAGGATGGGAACTCACATACCTGTGTTTTCTCACCTGGGGAGTAACATTGAAGAGACAGTCATGAACAAAGTTACGCCTGAATGGATTGTTTTCCCCCCCCGTGCTGTTTACCAAGATAAACTTCCACTGTCATGGAGCCATGTGAAGAATGTCCCCTAGGCTCCGTGAAGGGCACCCACCGAATGGGTCCTGTGGAGACAGTGGGAAAGGGGAGATCTGGGCTCTGCCTGGCAGCTGTGCGGTCTTGGGTCTCCTGGAACTCTCTGGAGCCGGTGTTTGCCGCCACCCTGACTGTCCTGTGGGAGCCACCAGCGGGCACCGTGTGGCCACCCTGAGCGCCTGGCAGGCCCTCTGCAGCCCAGGCCCCATCTGAGGTGGAGGGCTGACTGAGGGCTGGGTGACCGCAGGCGGTGGGGGAGGCCGGCCCCACCTGCCCAGCAAGCCTGGCTGTAGTGGGGGGCAGTGGGGCAGGAGGGTGACAGCCAGACTTCCCCATCTCCGACCCTGCCTGGCCTTGTGTTGCCGGTCCTGCCACACGTCTGGGCTGTGCTGCTGTGTCCGCAGTGACATTCCAAACGCACGTCTCAGAAAAGAGCAGGAGGGACAGTGGGTTTCCCTGGATCCCCTGCACCTGAAAGGCTTACCAGCCCCAAGGCAGCCGGAGACCCCTCCTCCCTTTCCCTCGGGACCGGAAGCCCCAGCAGGGTCTGGGGCAGATGTTGCTGACTGCCGGTTAGGGGACTCACTCGTCCTCCTAGCTGGACACGCGTTAGCCGTTGGTGCCAGAGCTGTGCTGAGCACTGTCCCCACCATCTGCTCATGCACGTTCAGTGTGTTCACTTCTGAGTTTCTTCTTTTTTTTTTTTTTTTTTTTTTTGGTCAAAACTGTCATTTCACTTGGTCCTTTTGATTCAACTTTAAAATGCCAAGCTATCCCTTAGCCTGTGTTGATAATTTTAACTCACGTGTGCTTAAATGTGCATTAATTACGCATTATAACCTGAACCCCCCACATCTGCTGGCTGTATCAGATCTTTGTTTTCTGTTTGCTTTGCAGAGTGCCGATGTGCGCGAGCACTCTGCTGAGATGCTGTATCTCCTTAATCAGCAGGGGACTCTGCATTATTCTGTGCAGTTAGCTTGACATTGTTTTGTTCAGAAATCTAACTCATTCTAGATCCTCGTGTCAAAGTGAGATTCGTCGGATGCATAATTAAAAGCATAACAAAACCCCACAGTGCAAGCCCACGGGTGCCCCCTCCCAGGCACGAGTATTTAGAACTCCGCCGCGGCTGTGTTCTTGGTGCTAACGGCTATGTGCGTCTGTGCTTTGCAGTGTGTGACATTCCTCTCTACAACATATGTGACTACAACATCACCAGAGACCGGTGCAAGGAACTCAGGTGCTGCTTCTACAAAGGCGTGTGCTATGAAAAAGCGGTTCCCAGTAAGTACCCGGGAAGCCCGCCTCCCTCCCGGGCGCCTCCTGCTGGACGGGCCTCTGTTGTTCCCTGGTCCCATCACTCTGCTTGGCACCCTGGTGGGAAGAGCAGTTTTAGGGTCTGTGAACGAGGGAAAAGCCACCAGAGGAAATTCACTCCCAGATGGAATCCACCTGATAATAGGGAGGGTACTTCTGGGACCCTGGGCACGCTGGGGGTGCAGAAGCAGCTGGTTCCGGGCGTGCTGGTCACCAGCTGTGCACAAGATCAGACCCACTGAGCGTGGGCGCTGGAGCCCTGCAGCCGGGGCATGAGGGCCAAGGACGAGCCCCGATGGGGCTTCTCCTCAGGCTTGTCACCGTCAGAACAAAACCAGACTCCCACTGAGGTGCGTATCCTGACCCCTGGGGCCTGGGATGTGCCTGGGGAGACCAGGCCGGCAGGGGGTCCAGGGATGAGGGGGCAGTGGGGGCAGGGAGAGGCCTCCACCCTCAGTAGGGCCCGCTTCCCGGAGGTGGTGAGGGAGGCACACAGTGGAAGGAAACAGGGGAGTCACAGTTGGGTGGGAGAGGCAGGTGTGGAGGGGGTGTTAGCGGGGCCCCTGTGGGAAGGGCTCTCTAGTGGTGCAGTCTGGGTGTTTACTCACACCTCACAGCTTTGGTCTTCTGTGCCTCGAGAATGTTCTTCTTCTTTGTTTCTACTATTCGTTTTGAGAGAGTGCGAGAACAAGCACGAGCAGGGGAGGGACAGAGAGAGAGGGAGAGAAAAGGATCCCAAGCAGGCTTCGTGCTGTCAGTGCAGGGCCCGGCATGGGCCTCAAACTCACGAGCCGTGAGATCATGACCTGAGCTGAAATCAGCACTTGGACACTCAACTGACTGAGCCCCTAGAATTTTCTAAATAG